CAATTTGATATAAAATGTTACAAAAAAAATTACACACTGGACATACAAAAAAAAAAATGATACCACAAATTACATATAGCAAATTTAAATAAAAATCTCTTTAAATATCAATAAAACACTACACAAACACTGCATGTCTAATAAAGCTAAAGCAAGTTTAGGGGGCATAAAGTTAAAGAAAGTTTAGATTTTAGATGAACATTTTCATAGTCCTTACACTCATAAAGTTAAAGAAGTTTAGATGAACATTTCCATAGTCCTTACACTCATAAAGTTAAAGAAGTTTAGATGAACATTTCCATAGTCCTTACACTCATAAAGTTAAAGAAGTTTAGATGAACATTTCCATAGTCCTTACACTCATAAAGTTAAAGAAGTTTAGATGAACATTTCCCTAGTCCTTACACTCATAAAGTTAAAGAAGTTTAGATGAACATTTCCATAGTCCTTACACTCATAAAGTTAAAGAAGTTTAGATGAACATTTCCATAGTCCTTACACTCACAAAGTTAAAGAAAGTTTAGATGAACATTTCCATAGTCCTTACACTCACAAAGTTAAAGAAGTTTAGATGAACATTTTCATAGTCCTTACACTCATAAAGTTAAAGAAGTTTAGATGAACATTTCCATAGTCCTTACACTCATAAAGTTAAAGAAGTTTAGATGAACATTTCCATAGTCCTTACACTCATAAAGTTAAAGAAGTTTAGATGAACATTTCCATAGTCCTTACACTCATAAAGTTAAAGAAGTTTAGATGAACATTTCCCTAGTCCTTACACTCATAAAGTTAAAGAAGTTTAGATGAACATTTCCATAGTCCTTACACTCATAAAGTTAAAGAAGTTTAGATGAACATTTCCATAGTCCTTACACTCACAAAGTTGAAGAAAGTTTAGATGAACATTTCCATAGTCCTTACACTCACAAAGTTAAAGAAAGTTTAGATGAACATTTCCATAGTCCTTACACTCACAAATTTAAAGAAAGTTTAGATGAACATTTCCTTAGTCCTTACACTCACAAAGTTAAAGAAAGTTTAGATGAACATTTCCATAGTCCTTACACTCACAAAGTTAAAGAAAGTTTAGATGAACATTTCCTTAGTCCTTACCCCATGGATGAGATCTTTATAAATGTTGTGAGTTGCAGCTCCAAGAGAGGTAACTCCAAGCGTCGTCTCCATTTCTTTAGCCGTTTCCTCCCTGGCACCCAGCAAGGCCATAGACATGGCTGAATGGATACTGACAGGGCATACAGATAAACCTTACAAAGACACTAATAAATATAGTAACGTATTATTCAACGACAAAGCTGGGGGGGGGGGGGGGGGGGGGGGGGGGGTTTGGACTTTTGTGACGAAGTGTGAGGTAAAAAATCGGTTTTGAAAAATCGTGACATAGTTTCTATTGCTAATATTTAATTGATGTTGTAATGGTCAGTATTCGGAAATATCTTGTTAATAAAGAATCAACAAAGTAGTTGGGTTTCTATATAAACGATGCCACGATATTAGGTCATGATGTTACGTTCCTGCATGGTTGGTTGCACATCGTCTCGAAAAAATCCGGCCTACCCTTTTCCCCCCCCCCCCCCCCCCCCCCCCAGAAAATGACGTCAAACTTCACCGTAACCTCACCAATGTAAAAAAAAATCTTTTCTTGTGATTCTTAAAATATTTCTTTCAAAATTCATTGAGCATGGTCAAGATAAAGAAAATCCTTCAATATTAATAAGTTTAAAACAAAATCTTTATGAAAAAAAAAATGAAAAAAAAAAGAAAAGTTAACAACAATAAAATAACTGCTAGAATTCTGTTTTTAAATAATTTATCTGTACTTTTTAAAACCCAAATCTGTGGCGTCTAGCTTGCTTGTTTGTGGGGAGTGGAGGGACTAGCATCAATTATCTAACTCCGCCTATGACAAATGTTTTTACCTGTACGGCGAATAGACCACATTGGGCGTGTCCAGCGCCACCTTCTGGTACAGTCTCTGGGAGAAATCTGACGTGGCCGCAGCCAAGGTCTTTAGCTGGTCGCCACTGACCAGCTGACCAGCGATGGCTATAATTAGAACTGTGAGACTCTTCATGTTTCTGAAAGACATAAAAGTACTTTCTATTCACGCTAAGCCACATTTGTTAAACGAGAGAGAACATTTTATATTAGGCAGTTTGGGAGATTAATGGTATTGTTTTTTTTTATCCACACAGATTTCGATTTGTACCCCCCTCCCCTCAAACGTTCGATTTGCATCCCCCCTCAAGATTTCGATTTGCACCCCCCAAACTTTCGATTTACACCCCCCTCAACCTTTCAATTTATTTTTCCAACCCATTTTGGCGCCCCCAAAGGTCGGCGCCCGGGAACAAATGTCCCCCGCCCCCCCCCCCCCCCTCGCTACGCTACTGCGCATATCTAAAAAGCTTGCTATTTTAACGTTTTTTTTAAAAAAGTGTATAGCATTATACATAATGTATCAGTGCATTACATTAATTCTAATGGCCATATCATGAGTTTTATGACTCACTTTTGTAAAGTAGATCACGCCCTATATAAAGGTCTATTGTTATGAAAAACACCGTCTATAGTCTATGTCACAGGGGTCTCCAAACTTTTCAGTCCGAGGGCCGCTTTAACTATCAAATTTCAGTTCGGGGGCCAGTTAGTTCCAAACATGTCTTTAATTTTTCTGGGCAAAGTTCCTCAGCCATCACCAACAAACGTTTTTTTTCCGTGGACAAAAAGATCGCCGCGGGCCGGATGAGAAGACCTCGCGGGACGCATGCGGCCCGCGGGCCGTAGTTTGGAGACCCCTGAGCTATAGCAATAGTTGTACAAGGTATATCAATAGTTGTGCGTGGTATAGCACTAGCACGTGTGTAGGCCTGTATCTCTATCTCTATGACAGTCTGTCCAATACGCCACAGAAAGATTTAACATTTTTTATGACTTACATAAAGCATACATAAAATAAAACTTTGCACCAGATTACACCATGGCATATATTGTATTTAGTGCACGATTATCCTGAGGGAAATCTTTTAATTCCATCTGCTAGAACAATTTTAACCCGTATAATTTTTCTATTAATCCGGTGCATGAGAGGATTAAACAACATTATATTATTACAAGTTTGATTATTTGTTGCCCACATATATGTGTATGCGGATTTGATGCTGTGTTTTGGGATGAGGGTGACGTTGATGGAATGTACCAGCACAGCAGATATGGTAGAATAAGGCTTAGATGGACGCCCGCATACAGACGCTGGCGGGAATCACGTGGTCATTCAAAGGTTTAGAGGGTTTACATGCTTCATGGGAAGTGGTATCAGGCGGAATGGTGGATTGTTGGGTATTTGTATAAGAACAAAAAAGTTATGTTTTCGAAACTTGAGTCAAAACTGAACTAAACCAGAATTGACCAATTTTTCAACAACGATAAAAAAACGACAGGTCTATCTCACAAGCTACCGAAAAGGTGGTAGTATTAAAATTGTATAACCACTTTATTATGTATTGAGAGTTCCAGTGCAATCGTGCATTATAAACGTTTTTTTTAATTGTTATTTAATATTTAATTTTTACTTTCTCGCATAGGCCTACATAGGATAGTGGAAGTCTTGTTATCGTGCATAAAAAATCACAAGAAATTTTGACAGTTTTAACCGTTTTACACCTCAGTACTTCATCATATACGGAGTATAGGGGACTTAATTTAATGAGGGCAAAAATTATAGATCCAGATTTATCAAAATCGTCAAATTGTACGCGTCATCGAGTCGGGAAAACTTAATTTTGCAATCTTCTGTGTGTGTGTGTGTGTGTGTGTGTGTGTGTGTGTGTGTGTGTGTGTGTGTGTGTGTCTGCGAACACGACAACTTGAGTACCGTTATAGCTAGATTGATGAAATTCCACATTTAAGTATTATGTCAAATGTGTAGTTCGGTATAAACTTTTCAGCGATCTAAGGGTTACTGGAAAGGGAATTTATTCTACTTTTGGTTTTTCAAAAGCCTATAACTTAAGTACTGTTTCTGATATATGAAATTTCATATAAAAGTAAATGATCTAATTCTGTTTTCTATTAAATTTTGAGTAACTTTCGGTAACCGGAAATAGCACTTTACGCAATTTCCGATTTCTCAAAAAAAAAACAACCGCAAATAAATTTATAAAGTACTAATGCTCCGCACTATTATACACAAATTGTTTGCTTTACACTAGGTGAGCAATTATTTTTCTAAGAGATTTTATTCTATTTTTAAAAATGTAAAAATTTATTTAAAAACTAGTAGGCCTACTTTATAATGAAACATCGATTTATTTTTTAAATAATCGAAAATGGCTACTTCCGATCACCAGTAGACCACTTGAAATGTGTAAGTATCAAGAAAATAAGATCTTTCACCAATGTATAAAATTTAGTCTACCTAACGAAAACGGTACTAAAATTATCGATATATTTTTAAACTAGAAATAGAGTAACATACCACTTACGGTTATCAGAGGTCACTTAACAATTGGAAGTTATCCAAGTGTAAGATCTTATATATGAAATTTCGTCTTCATAACAGGTCTCAAGTTAGCATGTTCCGACGAAAATACAATAGCATACCACTTCCGATTACCGTAAATGGTTCAAAAGTTGTTAGTAACTTGTTAATACTATGTAATACGTATATGTAAAAAAAATTGTCAATTTAACTTAAACAGTACTGTAGCCATTGGCTTTTGAGAAAGTGGAAGTAGAGTAATTCCCCTTCCGGTTACCGGAAATCCGTCAAAATTGTATACAGAACAATAAATGTGATTTAATACTTATATATTAAACTTCATCAACATGATTTACAGACACAGACTCAGAGAGTTGTAAAACGCAGAGATTTGTCAAAATCTCAGTTTCAATTTTTTGCATAATTACAATACATCCTTTATATGCGATGAAGTAGGAAATTGTAAAACTTCGAAAAATGTCAAAAAGAAATTAATTTGTGTGCAGGATTACAATATTTCCTTTATACTATGTAGATCTATACGAGAAAGTAAAAAATAAAGCTTTTAATAAAAAAAAATATAATAAAAGAACACAGCTACCTGGATTTTCGTCTTACATAAATGTACATGAAAACAGAAAATAGGGGCCAGTGACGCATTAGACCGCACAGGGAGAAGTTAACTCCAACGCTTAGAACGACAGTATATAACAACTGAAACATACAGCTCACTTGTGTTGTGATCGACTGACACGATATCAACACAAGCACTAAACATGTCTGCTGGGCTATTGGCTACAGTGTTGGCTGTCAAATTCTTTCTCTGTTCTGGTCAGTTCAATATTTTAATAACTATATCATTTTTTTTTCCATGCTATCTTGAGCTTCGTATTTTTTATGAATTTATTATAATTTTAATTTGCAGTGTTCTACTTAACCTCGGTTAAACCATCTGATAGAAAATAGCCATTCTTTTTATCAAAATAATACTATGAAATCTATATCCAAAAGTTAAAAGTATTGATGTAATATATTTAATAAACTATGTACAGAGTTACTTCCAGGCCCGAAAATTTTTTACCGCCCCCCCCCCCCCCCCCGAACGAAATTAAATTTATATAAATTATATAGAAAATATGTACTTTTAACAGTGTCCGCCCCCCTCCCCCCAAAGAAAGTCTACCGCCCCCCCCCCCCCGAAAATTTCAAGTGCCTCCCCGGAGAAAAAAGTCTGGAAGAAACACTGACTATTTACTAATAACCTACTGATTTTTATAACTAGAGGTAACTAGAGAGTAACATCTATTTTTTATTTTTAGTCGCAGGATATGGACCTATTGGGAATATTTCTTGTTTTAACACGGTAATATAAATACCTAATTGATAATTAATCTTCATTCGCTCCGCTATCACTATCAATCGCATACTACAAATTAACACTCACATGCACCAGAGTGGTTGAATGGTAGAACATAATTCTGCTAACCCGAGAGTCATAAATTTGAATCCGGTACTTGACTCACGTCGATAGAAAGCAATGATCACAGAAAAAAGTGAACTCTTAAACACTTTACTCATTTGCCGAGTCGAAAAGAACGGTTTATATATATATATATATATATATATATATATATATATATATATATATATATATATATATATATATATATATGTATATATATGTATATATACTAAACACAAACGCAAACACAAACAAAAGAAAACACAAATACAACACAAAAGAAAACGCAAACACAACAACAATGCAAACACAACTAATGCAAACGCAAAAAAAACACAAAAGAAAACACAAACGCAACACACAAACACAAACACAAAAGAAAAAAACGCAAACACAAACATAAAAGAAAACACAAACACAATGCAAACACAAAAATGCACACGCAAATAAACAAAAACGCAAACGCAACACGCATAACATAAACACAACTTAAATGCAAACATAAACGCCTAGTGCTCACAGTCTAGCCCGAAGCGCTAAATCACACCCGGGTGTGGTGCCGGCGGAACCACCTGATTCAACTTAGTAAACGACTATAATACCCCAACTTATTCATAAAATAAACAAAAGGCAGTATTTAAAATATCCTTATTTCACCTACCACAGTGCACTTTATAAATCCAAGCTAAGTATATTATTCCAACAATAATGTTCTCTTTGACGTCTGCGGAATTTGCATTCACGTTTTTTTATAAGCGTTGGTGGAATTTCTTTTTAAATTACCTCCCCTGGCATAATTATTAAACATTTTGATTAATTCGTTTTTTTTTACCATAATGTTACTAAAATGTATCAAATTTTTCTAGGAATCTAAGAGACAATATTATTGACATAGACCCGTTTAATATGTTTTAGCAATGTGCTTGTATTTAATATTTTCTTCACTATAAGCGAAAAAGTAAAAATCTGCCAACTATACAAAAAATGTAAGTCTTTATATGAATAAACCCTGCACAACTATTTATAATAAGACTACTCGAAGCAAGTAAAAAGATAGATAAATGAAATTTCACATGTAAGTAAAAGATCTAATTCTCTACCTTCTGTTAAATTTTGAGTAATTTCCGTTCACCGGAAGTAGTAATTTACGCTACTTCCGATTTCTCAAAAAAACTAATGTAAATTTTAAAAGTACTAATAATATTGCGCACTATTATGCGCTTTTTTATTTCGCGTTCACATGGTGTGCAATTAATTTGTCTACGAGATTTTATTCTATTTTTAAAACTTTAAGTATTTAAAATGGATTAAAAATCATGTCTATAGCCCGAGTTCCCATCCCCTGTTATTTTATATAAAAATATTCGAGAAAGTTTAGGGGAGATCAAAGTAGAAAAAGTACCACTTCCGGTTATCGGAAATCGCTCAAAAGTTGATGCGGATCTACGATTTTGATAAAATACTTATATATGAAATTTCATCAACCTAGCAGTAACGGTACTCAAGTTATCGTGTTTACACACGGACACACAGACACACAGACACACACACAGACATACGGACAAGATTGCAAAATTATGTTTTTCCGTATCAGTGAGATGTAAAACGTCGAGATTTGTAAAAATCTCGATTTTTTTTTTTTGCACGATTACAATACTTTCTCTATACTACGTATATACGAGAAAGTAAAAATGTAAGTCTTTATATGAATAAACCCTGCACAACTATTTATAATAAGACTACTCGAAGCAAGTAAAAAGCACTGCATGTGCTGATGTTCACATTTATGGTTCCAAAATTTATATCGATGACGGACTGACACACTACCAGCAGCGTTATATTATAGATATTTAGCTTAATCTGCTTAAAATAACCCTTTACAAATCAGGCTATGTTTTTTTCCAAAATAATTCTCTAAAATCGTCTTCACCAGATCAATTGTGACAAGAGCTCTATGTACAGCGATTTGTTTGCAAGGGTCGTTTTGAGTTCTCCTATTGGTAGAGATGTTCTGTGTGACACTAAAACAGATGGTGGCGGGTGGATCATGATTGTGGTAAAACTAAAGCAACCAATAAATTGCATGGTATAAACCAGTCATATAAGAATGTTTAGTGTTGGGCGAATGAGGGCAGGCTAAAGAAGCAAGGAGACGTTTTTCCATCGGATAACGAGGTTAGGTAGTATAGCGCTAAAAATAGGCGTGAATATTTGTGTAATATATTTGTTTATTTAAATGTCCAATTTTTAAATTCTCAGCACCTTTAAAGGAATAGCATTTTTAAATTAAACGCTAAAGAGGAAATAAAGCAATAATTATTAAATAGTAGTGATAACAATTTTTTAAAATTAAAATATAATTTGAAAATTTTAGGTAATTTTCGTGCTCCTAACCAGCTTAATGTTTTTCATGTATAGTCTCAATTGCTTGCAAACTTATCAAAGCTCTAATTAATCTTTTTTTTTTCAACTTAATTAATATCAAATCAGATTTCAAGCGGTGTTGCTTTAATGTTTTCAAAACAGTCTTGTATTTGTGGTGTATTAGCAACACAAACCTTTTTTTTTTTTTGCCTCTTAAACGTGATTTACTTTATTCGCAGTTACTTAAAACTTTAAAGGCTAGAGTCAATTAATATAATTGTTTCACTATTTCAAAAAATGTTTCCAAAGTTATCAGAAATTTCAATGTGTAAATATAATTATTAATTTTTTTTTGTAAAAATTGAATTGTTTTTGGAACAATTTATAGCTAAATTAAGGTAGAAGCTCTATACCATTTTATAGATGTAACTCTATAAGGTTTCTTTCAGCGTCGGTCTATAGGGGACGTAGTCTTTTCCAGAGGTTGGGCCGAGTACAAGTACGGATTTGGTACGTACTATGGTGACTACTGGATGGGGCTGCAACAAGTTCATCAATTGACCATGGTACGATAGTTTGTAACATGTTTGTCTAATTCATGTTTTTATCTACTCTATCTACGTTTTTTTAAATTCATTATATATATATATATATATATATATATATATATATATATATATATATATATAGATATACAAATACATAAACTCCTACACATGCACGGAGGCGAAACATTACCATCACCCCACCCCCTGGGACATCTTCGGTTTTGGGCTGCTCTCCTTATCTGTGACCATATGAGCACAGCAGCCTTTTTCCTCTTCTTATACCATTATTCTCTATGATTCCATAGGCGGCCCACTTCCCTTCTTCCCTGGGGATTCTAGTCCACAGTTTTCTTTGCGATATTATCTATATAACAACCGATCAACTAGAGATAAAGAATGTTTATCAGATGTGGATTGATAGATATAGTGCTATTAACATATACTATTATATATTCTAAAGAGTAGAAACTGAATACACCTCAAATGTTGCTGTTTACCTATCACCATCTTTTTATAAAATTAAAAGAACCAGTGCTGAATTTCCGGCCTATTTCGGCAATGCTGGATTATGAAAAAAAAATCCGCGATAAATGTTGTTTCAGAATATTATGAAGGCATACACATCCAAGCCTGTTTTAATCATTTAGCATACACTAATGCCAAAAAGTACAGGCTGATGTCTGATGTACACGGATGGCGCATATTTGACCATGCTCGTAATGATGATAGCTTCTGCTTATTCCTATGTGGTCTATCAAGAGCATAGAGGTGCAATCACAACTTTCCGAGAACTGTTTTTTTTAATGCACCCTCGTAAGCCCGGCAGCCTTTGTTTCATCTTCTACTGTCCTCCGCCAAAATTTTCTTGGAGGCCCACTCTCCACTTCCCCTGAGGATTCCAGTCTAATGCTCTCCTCGCGATGCCATCCCCACTTGATACAGAAATGTATAATATATCTTATATTGTTCATTTTCATTCACGTTCGCAGAACTTAGATGTTGTTTATTAAACATTTTTTGAGCGGGGGTTCTAAACTTGGGGGATTTTTGACGGCGGTACGGGGATTGTAGGAAAAAAAGTCACAGGAAAAAAAAACACAGGAAAAAAAACACAATAAAAAAGTCACAGGAAAAAAAGTCACAGGAAAAAAAGTCACAGGAAAAAAAGTCACAAATATATATTTGCTTGATATTTGGTAATACTTTAATGTATTAAATATTTAGAGAGTGCAAATTAACTTAGGATTAATTAAATTTAATGTAATGTGTGTAGGCTGTATACGCATAGTAATTTTTATAATTCATCTAAAAATATTTAGTAAGAAGTATGTAGATTGTAATTATTTTAAACTTAAGATTAGTAGCATGTAATAGAATGCTCCAATGTCCACGGTTTTTATCGTGTTTTTTTAAATACCAACATTAAATTACCGTGAAATGGTAAGTTCATCTGACTTGCTGTCCTCAACTCATGGCAACAATAGTTACGCTCAGTTCAACCACCTTTACTGCCCACATTTATCACGCTCATTAAATAACAAAACTTAGGATCAAACAGAAAGCCGACAAGGTTCAAAGGCTGTCACTGACGCATAACGTCAACAACACAAAATATGCCTACTGTGATGAGGCCGACCAGAAATATCCTACGGCAAAATTTGCTTAAATTTCTTTTATAAACTTTTCTACCGCGTATTTAACTAAATAGGTAGCAAAAGTTGAGATTGTTGTGTAAATTATCTTAGAGTATTTTTTACTTACAATTGTTAGAAACCATAATGCTTTTAACGTCTATAAATAATTTATGCTATCAAAAATACAACCCACAACAATAAACATACAAAATTTTACAATTCCTAACAAATAAATCAAAATATTTCTAAAAAGATTTTTGTGACTTTTTTTCTGTGACTTTATTTCTGTGACTTTTTTTCCGATAAAATTTTTCCACTGTGACTTTTTTTCTGTGACTTTTTTTCCTAGCAAAAACTGTGACTTTTTTCTGTGTTTTTTTTCCTGTGACTTTTTTCCGTTTACCGGTACGGGGGGGGGGGGGGGGAGAAGTCCAGGTTATTGACGGGGTCTAATGGCATCCTGGAGCCCTGATACACACACACATACAAATACACATACTTGCACTGATACATTAAACTATACTCATACAAGTAAGTTAGTTGAATTTGTATGAGTCAAGTATGCATTTCTTATTTTATCTATGTTATTCATATACTCATATTTTTTTCTTTACATACACAAATTCGTATACACAAATTTCTTTACATACACAAATTCGTATACATACAAGCATGAATACACATACAGAAAAAAAATTCTCATACATTTGCGTATATATTTACAGAGAAACATTAATACACTGATACATAAACATGTACATATATTTTCCCCTATACATACACATATACATACATACACATACTCATGCACAAGAACGATTAGGTGCATATATTTATCATTTACAAAATTGTTCACCTACTGTTTTCGGCAGAACGGAAAATGGGAATTAAGAGTGGACATGAAGTTTGAAGGCAGAGATTACTACGCCAACTACAAATCTTTTAAGATCGACTGCGAGGACAATTTCTACACGCTTCATGTTGGAGAATTCTCAGGAAACGTTAGGGATGAACTCAGTTATCACAACGGCATGCAGTTCTACACATCAGACAGGCCTACAACCACATATTGTACTAAAGATTACTCTGGGGGGTGGTGGTACAACCTTTGTCATCATGCCTATCTGACCGGTGAATGGGGGTCTAAAAAATGGGGAAATGGTATCCATTGGGACCAATTGTCCTCAGGCAAGAAAAATCTAGATTCGGCGGAGATGAAAATCCGAAAAATAGAATAAGTTGTTCATGTCCTCAGTATGTCTTCAGGCTTTTGGCACACTTATTTTAGTGCTTTGACAAGTTATTACAATTTACAAAAAGGTTTATAAATAAAAAAAAACAATTAGTCCATTTAATAAAAACCATCAGACTTCACGAGTGGGGTAAGGACTTCCACTTTACACGCCACTCCTGACCAATAAATTTTTATCTAAGGATTACATGTGTCCTTTCATTGAACTCCGCCCTAAAAAATATTTTAATTTTTGCTGTCGCTTTGCCTCTTAAAAATCTTTTCGAATAAACGTCTCTTTGATGCCACAAACTGACTTTTTGAACATTATAAATATATGTTTTATTAGAATTTGTAAGTTGGAAATCAAAGGAAGAACGTAATTTTTTGTTTGGTTGTGATTTCAAATCACTTTGTGTACGGTGAAAATTTTTGAAAAGTTGTGTTGTTAGGGAGGTTAAGTCGGCACAAAGGACGAATAGATGACTCTGGTGCATAGCTTGATGGTAAGATTACTCAACTTTCAAGTCTGCCTCCCCTCCCCACGACGAAATGAATAAATATATAAGCTTTATGGAGTATACTTACTCTAACAAGCATCTCTCAGCTCAAAATTTCAAGCCCCCCCCCCCCCCCAATTCATTTCCCACCACCGGGAAAATGTTTTTAATTCTCCACAAAAGTAATGCTACGCGTTACAATCTGATGTTGTGAGCTACTCTATATCAGTGGCGTAGCCAGGATCGTCTCATAGGGTGGGTGAAAATGTATACATATAAAGGAACAGAAGGTTAAATCTACTGGCCAATTTAGTAATAAAAACAAGAAACCATTTTTTTTATCCTGCAGTGGAATGCAGAGGGAGTTCACAAGAAAAAGGAAGCTTAAAAAGTATTCCTACATGAAAAAAAAAGTAGATGTTGCATGTATTCAAGAAAAGCACCCCAACAACAATCTTCGCTTCTCTATTAGAGAATAACCAGCATAAGGCAAGACAGGGAAACAGACCTAAAGGAGGTATCCTCAACCTCATAAAAAAATGACATACCAACAACAGATATTGTTATACCAAACTCAATAGCATCTGAGATAATGTGCACCAAACTCATACTCGCAGAAGGTAATCTAAATATATTTAATTGCTACTGTCCACCGAACATCAAACAACGAACATCGCCTGATTGTGGGAGACATGAACAGCCATTCTCAGAGCAGGGGTTACTCTGACCTCATTGCTAAAAGAGAATAAATTGAAGAATGGCAAGCAGAAAAAAGGCGTATTCCTCTAAACAAACGTGATGACAAACACACTTTTTACTCAAGATCATGGTTAACCTCGTCTACCAAGCGTTTGCTACAAATGACATTTCCAAGAAAAGAGAAGTTGCAGATCAACTAGCCACTAGTGACCACCGACCAATCCTGATCCACACCGAAACATCAAACAGGCCGATTGAAACTTCCTCTCTTCCCATATGAAACTATATAAAGCAAATTGGGAGCTTTTCTTTATCCCCACAGACTCCTACATACGACCAATCAACTGCAAAATAAAACAGGTGAATAGGCTGTATACCGCCTTTTGCAAAGCCGTTTTGTTAACAGCAAAAAAAAAAAAATCTATTCCAAAGAGGAGCAAGACAAAAGTACACCCCAAACTGGTTCCCAGACCTTCAGAACCTCCATGACGACACGATGCTAGAACCGCAGCAGAAGAAAATCCCACTGTAAAATAAACCGGGAGTCATCTCGCCTAAACTTTCTCGAATATTCTTATACGAGTCGACCCGCGGCGTATCATACGCCGCTATTTAGTTGTTTTATTTTCTACTTTTCAGTAATTCATAATTTGTACCAATGCTGCCACTGAAAATATTTGCTTTAAAACACTACCCCCCCCCTTTCCCCTAACCCCGACCCTACACCCCCCCCCCCTCCCGTGAAAGCAGCCTCCTATTAGTTACCTCCTGTAAGTTTAAAATCGTTTCAAACTAAATTATCTGCCCCTAATAGCCGTCACCAAACCCGTCTCTGTGATTGTAAAATGATAACAGAGTGAATACCGCTCACCAGATCATGTGGGGGTGGGGTGGGGGTGGTAGTGATAGAGAGGAAGAGAGGGGACTGCAAAGGCGCGCTTGCAGCTTGTTTTCTAGCTGATCCCAGAAGAGAATTATATATATAGATAACTTGGAATATAGACATGGTTTTTAATTACTTAAACTTTTAAAAATAGAATCTCATCGGATAAAGAATTGCGCACCAAGCGAACGCCGAAACAAAATGTGCATAATTGTGCGCAATATTATTAGTACTTTATAAATGTACAAGCGTTTTTTAAGAAATCGGAAATAGCGTAAATTAGTACTGCCGGTCAACGGAAATTACTCAAAATTTGACAGAAGGTAAAGAATTAGATTATTTACTTACATGTGAAATTTCATTTATCTATCTGAAATAGTACTCAAGTTATAGGCTTTTGAAAAATTCAAAGTAGAAAAAGTAGTCTATAATTTATTTTCTACTTTTTAGTGCATTATTACATAAAAGCTTGTTATTAAAACGTTTTTTTATGAATTTTTTTTCCAGTACTTTACATGTTTTATTTACAATAGAGTAACATGACTAAAAACCATTGCGGGCCTACTGAACGTGATGGCGCCTACTGAAGGTGATGGCGCAGCTATTGAACGTGATGACGCGTGTGGATAGACATGCCTATTGATTCGGTCCAAATTTTAATTAACTCATAAAAAATTAATTAGGCATCCAATTAAGTCAAATTTAGTTTTAGATTGCATTGTCTTCATGTCTTGACCCACGTGCCAACTGTGAATCGTATCGGTGAAGTAGAACTGTCCGAATTTTCATTCCAGCGTTTCTATCTAGACTGACGACTTACGACTGGCGACTGACGACAGACAGAGGAAGTGAGTTAAATAAAAGCTTGTAAAAATGGAATAAAATCTTGTAGACAAATTAATTGCACACCTAGTGAACGACAAATAAAAAAGTGCATAATAGTGCGCAATATTATTAGTACTTAAAAAATTTACATTAGTTTTTTTGAGAAATCGGAAGTAGCGTAAATTACTTCTTCCGGTCTACGGAAATTACTCAAAATTTAATAGAAGGTAGAGAATTAGATCTTTTACTTACATGTGAAATTTCATTTATCTATCTGAAATAGTACTCAAGTTATAGGCTTTTGAAAAATTCAAAGTAGGAAAAGTACCACTTCCGTTTATCGGAAATCGCTCAAAAGTTGATACGGATCTACGATTTTGATAAAATACTTATATATGAAATTTCATCAACCTAGCTGTAACGGTACTCAAGTTATCGTGTTTACACACGGACACACACACAGACAGACAGACAGACAGACACGCAGACATACGGATAAGATTGCAAAATTATGTTTTTCCGTATCAGTGAGGTGTAAAACGTCGAGATTTGTAAAAAAATCTCGATTTTTTTTTGCACGATTACAAGACTTTCTCTATACTTCGTATATACGAGAAAGTAAAAATGACATACGGTCAAATCTAATAGCCCGAGAGAGCAGAACGTTTTGTTTGTTATCCACCAGGGAAGTTCTGCGAATAGAGTCCTTGCAAACACGTGACCTGAATCACGTGGTACCTACGCCCGCCGCCACAGTGGTGTACACCAGACGTAAACACTATCAGCTATTCACCAGCGCTGAACGTATTCACTGTATGTAAAGAATCGCACCCGCGGAAAAGGAAAAATACGTTAAAAAACTTGAACTCTTAGGAATTGAAGATCCTTATACTGTTATTGACAGTTTCGTGGATAATATAAAAATGTCGCCGAAATTTCTAAATAAAAATACTGTTAGTAATACTGTTTGAGTTTAGAGTTTAAGTAGACGAATCTGATCAAATGCAGTAATATATTATAGGTTATCTACTGTAGCAAACGTTAGACCACTTAACTCCTACAAAACCCACACTACAACGACTAATATAATTCATGGGTAATAACCACTGCTGTTCTTAGATCTAAGCCAATATGGGTAGCATGTTATACAATTTAAGACCCTTATAATCCAGGAGGAAAGTGATCAGACACAGTGCTGACATACTGATGTTCAACCCTCACGATGGCCAGCCCCCACCTTTTTCTAGCCTACAATAAAACCAAAGAGGAGTAAGTACCACTGCCCTCCCCTGAAAATTTCTCAGCTCCGTGATACCCAGCCCCACAGATATAGTGTCTCTTATATAATTTTGACCCTCAGGGCCGAGCAGTGAGAACAAAGGGGAAAGTCCCACTGCTCCCACCTCAACATTTCTCACCTCGATGTCATGTTATGTCATTTATAGCACACATGGCTTATCAGGGGAAAGCATTAAGGCAGATCAGTTTGTACCATCCCTTTTTACATCTAAGAATTTTAACTCTGGACAGCTACACACTAGTATACTAGTTACACACTAGGTGCCTACTGTAAACTACTAGACTGTAGGCCCTATGTAGACCTGCAATTGTATCAATTGTAAACTGGGTCCATTGTTATTATTCTAAACCATCTCACGTATAATGTTTCTATCTGTCACAGGCTTTTCTCCTACCTATTTCATGGCACCACACACTCAAAACAAAAATCAACTCTTGTTCCGCTAATTTCCATGATTTTTTTGATTCATAAGAACATTGCCTTCACTACCAAGCATCGCCATGTTGTTCGCGCCTTATCTACCTCTCGCTTCCTTAACTTTCGCGCATGCGCACACCCACACTATATTTTATATTTAATCTCGCCTTTTTAAGACACACACTCGCAACATACATTCATATACATTTAACTGTTATACGCCCTTTCTCCCGTTTAAAAAAATTAATTTATTAATTTTTTTTTGTTTTTTGTTATATACATTATATTCACTATAAAATCTTCATTATACATGTAACAGTTAAATGAAAATCATGTTGAAAAAGAAACTTGCTAATGAACATCCTAAGTTATTTTATATGTACACTTACCAAATTAAAACAATGATATTCATAAAATACATGGCAAAATGCAAAGATTCACTTATCTTATAAGTATAGCCCTTAAAGAAAATTGTAACTAAGGTAAACCTTCTTAGTTTAATAATAACATATGAATCTAACTAAGGAACATCTCTTCTTAGTAGAACAAAATCATAGCTATGTAATAGCTCCCATGGGTAAATCATATCCTTGATTTCCCTACTTCAATGGCTGAGGTCAACTCCTCATCATAACATAAGTAACTTACCACATCTGTCAACTCATACTGCCATAATCATG